TCTCATCCGCCTCGTCAAAACAAGTGTCTTCAGATGATTCACACGCAGGTGACGCCGTTTGATCATGTCAAACACGCGTCCTGGGGTGCCAGACACAATCTGCACACCACTCTCCAGACGACGTATGTCATCTTCCACGCTCTTTCCTCCAATAGAGGCGTATGCGGCGAGACCCATGTGGTGACCAATGTTGTTACAGAGATCTTGCGTCTGCAGCGCCAGTTCTCGCGTGGGACTAAGCACAAGCCCTTGCGTTTCCCGCAGCGCTGATTGGCATACCTGCAGAAGACAAATACAAAAGGCCGATGTCTTGCCGGATCCGGAAGAGGCCTGCGCCACAAGGTCACGGGACTGAGTGAATGGCACAATAAATCGTTTCTGAATGGCAGTGGGTTTCTTGTAACCGTATCCATACATGCCACGCAGCAATTCCTCCTTTAGCCCCATCGCCTCAAACGTTGGAATGGCTAAGACATTTGCTTGTATGTCAGTTTCCTCCTTCTCCACTATTTGCTCGACGTCTCCCATTGCTGCGATTCCCCTTATGTTTATGGCTCTCTGCCCCTTCTTCCCTTCCTCCCTTACACAGTCAGAGACACACAGCCCTTTTTTCTCTATCGCTACTTGTTTAGTTGCTTTTTTTTTTTCTTTCTCCTTCGCTCTTTGTCCAAAGTCAGAGTGGGCAGGTGCCTGAAAGTGATGGCTGCAATAAATGCGTGCCGATATATATATATATATATATAGAGAGAGAGAGAGAGAACAACAAAAAGAAAGGGCACATCTTTTATCTCCTCATTTGGGTTCGTTGGCTTCTTTTTTTCCTTTTTTTTTTACCAGCAAGCAGAATAACAAATATTAACGATAATGAAGATGAAAATGATGGTTTACACACAAAACAAACAACAACCAATAAAAAAGAAGAGAAAAAAAAAAAAAAAAATCAAGTAAACGACGCTGTTTTTGTGAAGGGAAACAATTATGTGCGAGAAACTCTTTTTTTTTTTTTTTTTTGCCCCCCTTCGTTGTTCTCCACCCCTCCTTTTACTACCTTTTACCGCAGCGACTGCCGTGGTTTGCGTCTGTCACGACGATGGAAGAAGGCATGCGTGTATGCATGTGCACACATGTGGCCAAGTACACTAGGCTGTGCTGTTCTCTGTTTTGGCCCGGTGTAATGCCTCGCGGAGTTCTGCAATCACCGTTGCGCTTCGCCCACATGCACGCTCCAAGATGTCTATTTTACCTTGCAACACCATAACAGCCGACTGATGCTCCTCTGCCATCATTTTCTTCAGCATCCGCTCCTCATCCCGGTGTTGCTCCACCAAAATACCGCGCAGCATCCTTTCACGATCGCGCTCACTCTCTGCGACGGCAAGTTTCTTGCGTGCCTCCTCCAACACTAAAGTCCACTCCTTCAGCTCACCCAAAAATCCCTCCTTCTCACTTTTCATTCGCTCCTCAAGCACCGCAATGCGGTCACGCGCAGCGCGCTCTGCGGAGCTACACGCCTCTTCCTTTTCCTGTGCCCTTTCTTGCAAAACCTCCATGCGTGAAGTCAGTGTCATGTTCTCTTCACTGAGCACTCGGTTCACTTCTTCAAGGCTCTTAATTCGCTCCGCATGCACCTTCGCCTCGTCACATAGCGTGCCATTTAGCTCCTTCATGCGATTCACTTCCTTTGAATGGCGTTTTGCCTCTTGCCTTGTGCGCTGCAACGCCTTCTCAAGCCTGGCGCAACGCTCTTGACATGCCTCAACTGTGGCCTCGCAGGCAGAGCGCTCGGCTTTCAGTTTGCTAATTGTCGTGGCCGCCTGCTGCCGAACTGCCCGCTCACGCTCGACGCACTGCCGCCACTCAACCTTGAGCACCTCGTGCTCCACCTGCACTGTACGGAGGGCATCATACACACTGCAGTTCTTCTCCTTCTCGCTATTTTCCGTCCTTACAGAGACACGACCACTGGTGTCTAGTGTCAACGATTGCTGCTGTTGTGACTCCTTTCTCCGCCGGAGGAGAGCTCTTGCACGAGAAAGATCAGCATGCACTTTCTGCAGCTTTCCACGCAACAACAACGACTCTTGTCTCACCTCCTGCAGCTGCTTGTCGTGACGGATGAAGGCTCTAAACACCAATGCCAAAAGGCGCTCCAAATCTGCACCTTGCTCCATCATTAAGTCCAACCGGCCACACACCGCCTCCATGAGCAACTCCTTCTCCGCCTTTTCGTAGCGCATTTGTCTCTGAAGCAGCAGCAAACGTCCATTGACGCATGTTACTTGTTCCTTCCACTCCTCCACAATACGCTCATGCTGAGAGCATTCCAACTGCGCTCGCTTTTCCAATAGTTCCACCCTCTGGTTATGCGCACACTCCGCCGCTCTGTGAGCCTCGCAGAGCTGTTGCTTCTCAACCACAGCCTGCCTTGCACACCGCAGGAAAAGTGACAATGTAGCGTAGGCACCGCTACAGGCATCTGCAATAGCGCTACGGGCGTATCGCTCCGCCTCAAACAAATTATTACAGGCGAGTGACCTTGTACGCAGATTAACGCTAACTAAATATTCCTGTCGCGCCTGCAATTCGCAACATTCCGCGTGCAGGTTGATACAGGCACCAATGACGCTCTCAATGGGGTAATCTAACTCCGAGGACATGTTCAGAACCTCTCGGGCACGCCAGACGGCATGGCGAATGGCACTGCCTTCCTCTTGCTGGGCTTCAATAAGCATTTGCTTTTCCCGAAGCTCGGTCTGCAGTGTTGTGACCAAAAGCTTCAGTGTGCGCCGATCTGTCTCTCGGTCATTTTCACCCGCAAGCACCTCATCCAGCTGCTTCTTCAGGCGCTTATTGTCTCTGTAGAGTTCAAAGATGTCTTCATCCTTTTGGTCAATAACTTCGTAGTATTTCTGCACCACTTGGCTGATATCATCCATCGCTTAAGGCATAAATATCAAATGTGGCGAGGATGATAAGAAGAGCTGCATCTTCGATGGGGAGAAAAAGAAATAATAAACAACAAAAGATAAAGAACGATACCACCACGCACACGGCGATGAAAGGAAAAAAAAAAAAAAAAACAAAAAAAAAAAGCAAAACACATTTTTTTCTCCCTCCAAGTACGAAGAAGAAATAAGACGTATTGAATGGATGTGAGAGACTGCAAGGAAGACTCGTCAAGCATTGGCTTCATGCGAAAGACGCATAAATATGTATTTATGCTTGTTCCCTCCTTGTTTCCGTTTCCTCAGCAATAAAGAGGAACCCATTCCTCTTTCCTCACCCCCCCCCCCC